CCACACTCAGTGGGGAGTCTGCTTGAGATTCTCTCTGCCTCTCCCTCAGCCCCTCTCCTTGCTTGCACGTGCTCGTTCTCTCACTCTCTCAAGTAAATAAATTTTTCAAAAAAAAAAAAGTGAAGATCAATGAGGAATTCAGATAAACTTAAGATGGGTTGCACAAATGAATGTAACTGGATTATGAGTGACATAATCATAATTAGGGGGTAAGGAAGACAAGGAGCTATCCCAAGTAAGTTTGAAAGTGTTTTGGCTAGATAATCTAACACCACAGACTAAAAGAAAGTACACAAACACTATATATACCCTTTGTCATTGGCCAGAAAATGGCCCCCCCAAAAAATATCCATATCCGACTCCCTGGAACCTGTTGATGTGACCTTATATGACAAGAAAAGGGTGAGGGAGGATCTTTGAAGATGTGATTTAGTTAAGAATCTTAAGATAGAGAGATTATCTGAATTAACCATCCAAGTAGGCCCTTAATGCAACTACATGTTCTTATAAAGGAAAAGCAAAGGGAAATTTCATATACATAGAGAAGGTCACGTGAAAGCAGACAGAGAAAGATTTGAAGATCCTGGCAGTGATAGTTAATTTTATATGTCAATCTGGCTAAGCTATCATGTATCATTGTTTGGTCAAACACCATTCTACATTTTGCCATGAAGGTGTTTTTAAATGTGATTATCATTTAAATCAGTAGATGTTGAGTAAAGCAAATTATTATTCATAGTGTGAACAGACTTTATCCGATCATTTGAAGACCTTAGGAGCAAAGACTGAGGTTTCCCAAAGAAGGAATTTGGCTTTAAGGCTGTAACATAGAAACCCTGCCTGAGTTTCCAGCCTGCCTGGTCTACCTTGTGTATTTCAGAGTCAAGACTGCAACATCAACTCTTATCTGAATTTCCAGCCTGCCCACTTGCCCTATAGATTTAGGATTTGCAATTTCCACAATCATGTGAACGAATTCCTTAAAATAAATCTAGATGATGGATGGATATATAAACAAAAGACAGAGATGGATGCTATTGGTTCTGTTTCTCTGAACTCTAACATAATAGCCTTGAACTGGAGTGATATGGAGGACACAGGCCAAAGAATCCCAGCTGCCACCAGAAACTGGAAGAGGCCTCTGTACAAAGTATGGTCTTGTTCACACCTTGATTTTGGCCCAGTAAAACTGATTTTGGATTTCTGGCCTCCAGACCAGTGAGAGAATAATTTCCTATTCCTATCCACCAAATTTGTCACAGCATCCATAGGAAACTAACATACCCTAATGTATAAATGTTTCTCACAGGATATGGGTTCACAATTCTGAAATTACATGTATACTAGGGTTGAACAAAAGAGTAAATAAATTATAATTAATGAAAACCAAGTTTCTCACTATCAGAGGAAGAGGTTTCAAATAAAACGAGAACACTAAAATGAATGACCCTCATGTTGATGGAGTTATCAGTACAAAGTCATGTTTTAAGTATGTAGATGACTGATAGACAGATGTGTACATGGGTTAATATACAAACATATTTCCTAGCTCTATCCACTGAGAATTAGTGATACCACAGTAACTATAGTGGATTAGACCTCCTTTGAGGATAAATCAGTCTTAACTGATTTTGGAATATTCCTCTTGTAAATATAGAATACCTTTCCTAGGGATGCCTGGGTGGCTTGGTGGTTGAACATCTGCCTTTGGCTCAGGGTGTGATTCTGGGACCCGGGATCAAGTCCCACATCAGGCTTCCTACATGGAGCCTGCTTCTTCCTCTGCCTGTGTCTCTGCCTCTTTCTTTGTGTCTCTCATGAATAAATAAATAAAATTTAAAAAAAAGAATACCTTTCCTAATCATAGAGAAAAAAACTTAATCTAATCATATTAAAATAGCTTTATTTCTTAAACATAATCAGATATGCAGTTTTATTCTTTCTACTAAATAACAGGGTGCTCTGGGACTGGACTCCACATTTCTAAAGCCTTATTGAATAGAAGTGGAGACAAATTCCTATTTTGAAGATGACAACTATTTTGAAGATTTCATCCATCATTAGGGGAATATTGCTCTTTAAAAAATTATCTTTAGAAGGCTATTTGATTTTACAGTTATTTCTGTGGTCTATATTAGAAACACTGTACATATTTCCACTAGTTGAGATTTATGATATTCAAACACAAATAACTCCAGGTTCCTTTCTCTTTTTACCTTATATCCAGATGGCATTCAATCAAATACATCTCTTTTAAGCAACATATACTTTTATAATTTTAGGTGTCAGCAGCATCAAACTACCACACAATTAGTTGTTATGACCTGGAACCTATCACCACATACCTGGACCAGCGCAACTGCCTCCTACTTGAGTTAGTTCTAATTTCTCCCAACTCTAACTGTATTACCTAATTAGTGTTTCTTAGTCATTCCTTTTATCTTGCAACTCTGGCATTTAAGAAAGAAGTTCCTTATCAGCTTCAGAAACCAAGTCAAAACACCTGAAGATTCTCTATAAATCAGTCTTACCATATCTATTAATTTCAATTTCCAACTATTACTCTCCCTCTGTTTAGGCCTATTTTGAATTTCCTCCATTTGTACTAAATTTGTGATTGCATTTTTCTCTTGCTCATATTCCCTTTACAGAAAGCCTTCCTTGCCTCTTTTACAAATTCAGTTCAATTCTATTAATTAAACAAAAAATTAATGAACTCTTACTAGTCACTAGAGTTAGGCAACAAAAATGCAAAGCTTAAAAAAAGGCAACAACATTAACACTCAATAATTTTACAATCTATATACCTTTAATGTCCTAATTTAAATCCTACCTCTTCAATGAATCCTTCCCAGGCTTTCCAGTCCATGATAAACTTCCTTTTTATTTTTATTTTTAAATATTTTATTTATTTATCCATGAGCGACACAGAGAGAGAGAGAGGCAGAGACATAGGCAGAGGGAGAAGCAGGCTCTCTGCAGGTATCCTGATGCGAGACTCGATCCCAGGACCCCAGGATCATGACCTGAACTGAGGCAGACACTCAACTACTGAGCCACCCAGGTGCCTGATAACCTTCCCTTTTATAATTCTTAAAGCACTCAATCTCTTCTCTATCACAGAGCAAGCTGTAAACTATAGAATTTGATTATAAGTTATTTTATTGTAATGTGCTTTTGTTGCTTCATAAGTTATGTCTCAACTAAATTATAAATTCTTTAAGCGTAAGCCTCTGTCTTTAAGCTCTTCTATGTGCTCTCAAAGTGCCATGCACACTGTAGATACTTTAAAAATACTTATTTCACTTTACCTCTTTTATTGATACATGATACTGGTGTGCTAGGCATTTCTCTATTTAAATTAAAAATAAACCAAGGAATCACTGGGTCTCTCAACACTAAAACCAGTTTTGAACCTCTTAAATAACAAATAAACCAATTACAACATTTTCTCCTTTCTCATATATAGACATTGGCTAATGTTTTTATTATATTAAAACTACTAATTAATTCAATCATAGGGTAAAATATTTGATATAAAAAAAGAAAACATCAGGTTTTTAACTGAAATTTTCAGCTTTCAACCAGTTGAAGCTTTTATTTTTAAAACACAGATAAAAGTTTCCTTAAATTCTCTCATTATTTGTATCATTCTCTTCTAACAAGTCTTTGGGAAGGTTTAATATAATTCAATTGTGATATGTTGTGGACACCCTGAAGAACCAAGAGATATTCTCAACCAAAATTTGGTTTGGGTATTCAGACTAATGGCCCTACACACACCCCAGTAGGTTATGAAAAGATTTATTACTCATATAATGACATTTTCTAGCAAGAGCAGGCCGGACCTAGTTTGTCTGAAAAAGACTGAGCAATCAGAGAAAGGAGACTAGCTGTGAGTTTTCATGCTGTTTGGGAGTGGGACCAGAACAAGAGTTCCTATGTATGGCTTGAACTTCCCACTGGTGCTAAAGGTAGGAACATCTGGGCTTTCTTATCAGCTCAATCAGATATGGAGCAGAAGGGAAAGAAAATGCAGGGAAGCTTAAAATCTGTCAGCAGTCACACACCAAAATTTGGAGTCAAACTCTTTATTACTCAATAACTCAATGTAACTAATTACACAAAATACAAAGATGTTGAGTAATATGTTTATAAAATTTCATCAAATTTTAAATATCTTCATTTAACCTATATTATTAATAAGCAAATGCTGCATATAAAACATGAAGGTGAATTTGTTAGAGATAGAAAACAAAATTTTAAATGTTCTTCAAAAAAGTTTAAGCAAGAAAATATAACAGTATCATCATTAATACAACAATCTAATTTTCAGAAATGATTTGAGCCCTTCGTATTTAATTTCTTTCCATTAAAGATATTAGAATAACTAATAAAAGTAGAATTTTATTATTTGTTATATTAGAAGAAAATAACATTTCATTCACTATAAATAACATGAATTCTGTGAGATTATTATTAAAGTACCATTCTTTATACTACAACAAAAGTGAAGCATACATGAAACAGTAGTTTTAAAAGCATTTTTTAGTAGCTAATGTACAAAGTATACCTCAGCATTAATTGTGCATTAGTTACTCCTAAAAGAGCTTCTGAGGGTCTAAAGTTCTGGTTCTTATCAAAGCACCTAAAATACTACCAGAATGAAACTTAGTTTCTGGGGAGAAGCAGACTTAAAATTTATAGTACAGACTAACGAAAAGGCATCAAACTCTATTAAGATTAATTCTGCCTAAAAATGGCTTGCAAAATCAAAACCAAAATAAATAACAATAGCAAATACTGCAAATAAAACAAAATTTGATGACACAGGGTTAATTTCCCTCAATATTTAAATATAATCAAATAATATAACTATAATAATCTATTATTGCTTTAATCAACAAAAGATAGTAGTCTTCATTTTTAAAGTAATAATGTAAATTTATGCCCTAAATGATCACAGAGCAGTTAAATAATTTGAGAAATTAGTAATTAGTTCAAAAAAAAGTAAATTGTGTTGTATTTTGTGAGGAAGATGAAAAACCTTTTACAGAAGAAGATGTTGAGTTTTGATCCTGTTCAAATGAAAATGGAAAACTAAAATCATCTTTTCCAGTTCCAAATGTATGAGTTGAAGAGTCTGATGAAAAAGAAAATGTAAAAGCATCTTCTCTTTCTGATTTCCCAAATAAGTTTCCTGAGGAAGATAAACATCACAATATCATACTATTCATGTTACATTATTTGCATAATCTACTGAATTACAACATACTGTAAACAATAAATAGGGTAACACTGAATCACTTATAAAGTTGATATTTAACTGTATTTCTATGTGCAAACAACTGTCCTTTGTACTATGAAAAATCAAGTAGATTCAAACTTACTTTCAAATAATTTGAACTCAAGTGTAAATAGGGGTAGCATATATGGTTAAAAAAAAAGGTGGGGAATAAAACAACTCAAATGGAGAGAAAAGCACAGAGGCACAGAAACAGGCATGCATAGAAGTATAAGAGATATCAGTTCAGCCTGTCAGGAGCACTGAGAAATAATAAGTTATTAAAAGGTATTAAATAAGATGAGCTTGGAAAGACTGCTGAATGGACATTCAGTCCAGAATCCAGACTTTGATATGTAAGAGGAAGCCATTAAAAGTTTTCAAGTGGAGGGGCACCTGAGTGGCTCAGTCGGGTAAGCCTTGGACTTCTGTTCAGGTCATGATCTCGAGATTGTGATATCAAGTCCCATCTCCCACTCCACACTGGCTATAGAGACTGCTTAAGATTCTCACTCTTCTTCTCCCTCCCTCCCAACAAAATAATTTAAAAAAAATTTTTTTAAGTTTCAAGTGGAGATATGACAGGATTCGAACTACTTTCTGAGAATTACTAACGAAAGAATGCATTAAGAGGCTGAAATAGTAGAGTATCTAGAAGTGGGTAGGGATAACAGGAAAGAGATGATGAAAGTTTGGTCTTACAGTCATAGCAAAGGGAATAGGGAAAGAAATAAGAAATGCTGGATCTGAGAGATACTGCAGAAGTCAAACTTATTCAACTATTGTTTATAAGTTACTACAATGTATTGCTTGTGGCATTCATTGTTCAAGGAAATGGACAGAATAGTGAAAAGGTTCTAGAGTTCTAAAAGGAATATTTTAAGATTTTTAAAAAATTTATTTTAGAGAGAGAGTACAAGTGTGTGTGTATGTGGGGGCGGGGGGAGGGACAAAGGGGAAGGGAGAGGAAGAAAATCTCAAGCAGACTCCATGCTGAGCATGGAGCCTTATGCAGGGCTCTATCTATCTCATGATCCTGAGATCATGACCTGAGCTAAAACCAAGAGTCAGATGTTTAACCAACTGAGCCACTCAGGTGGGAATTTCTGAAATCAACTTTGCTTAACTGATTATTTGGATAATGACTCCAAGAATTGCCCCTTAGGGAAAACATTATTTAATATTCATTATATTATGTAAGACTGTAAATATAAAAATATTTTAGTATATTTATTATTATTTTTAATTATTATTAAGCTCAAAATGCACAGTAATCTAAAATCTTACTTGAAGCAAGTCTGTTAAAGCACCTGTATTTTTTTCCATGGAGAACCAATTCAATTAGTACATTAAGCAGAACAATTTACTTTGTGGTACTTTGAAGATTCATGTATCTTTAAAAACCTCAATTATGTCACCCTAAGTAAAGCTGAGCCAACCAGAATTAGGATGGGTGCATGGAGGGATGGTTAGAAAGACAGATGGACTAATTACCAGATACTTGAGTTGAGTTCTTCCTCTATCCCTTTATTTTTCCATTGACTTCAGTACACATCCATAAGACTTAAACAAGGGAAAATAGCTGTAATATAGCTATAGGCTCAGAAAAAACTAACATCTCAAATCTGCCTTTGAATAAATGAATATGATTTTTTAATTTAATTTCAGAAAAAATGTTCTTATGAAGTCTTCATTATAAATTATAAATAATATAATTATAAATTATAATTTATATATAAATTATATATATCATTATAAATAATATAATAGATGACTGTGCAAGGTGCTGGACAATTCAAAGGTGAATAAAACAGAACCCCTGTCCTCAAAGACCTGTGGTTAGAAGAGATTTTATATATATTGATAAATAGTAACAAAAAAATAGAATATTTAAAAGTACATCAAAAAAGAAACATGCAGAAAAGTGAAGGAGAGATCTTTTTGGAATGAAAAGTTGAAGGGAAAAAAAGGATTTATGGAACCTGGTCTTGCAAGATGGTTAGAAAGAAATGGAAGTTGGGGTGCTTGGGTGGCTCAGCTGGTTAAGTGTCTGCCTTCAGCTCCGGTCATGATCCTGGGGTCCTGGGACTGAGCCCCACATCAGGCTCCCTGGTCAGTAGGAAGCCTGCTTCTCTCTCTCCTTCCCGCCTGTGCTCTCTGTTGCTATCTCTGTCTCCCTTTCTCTCAAATAAATAAATAAAATCTTTTAAAAAAAGAAATGGAAGCTGAGGATTTCAGGAAGAAAAATATGGGAAAGAAAGGTGGGCATATTTGGGATGTAGTGAGTTCTTCAGTCTGGCCAAAAGTATACATTATTCTTATAAGAAAAAAAGCTTAAAATATATGTTAGAACAAGGTTAGATACATCACGTTAACAGAATAAAAGAAAATAATCATATGATCATCTCAATAGATGCAGAAAAAGCATTTGACAACACTCAAAATCCATTCGTGATAAAAACTTAACAATTTAGGCATAGAAGGAATACATCTCAATATAATAAAGGCCATATATGACAAGCCCACAGATAACACCATACTTAATGGTGAAAAGAGGAGAGCTTTTCCTTTAAGATCAGGAACAAGATAAAGGTGCCTGCTCTTACCACTCCTATTCAAAGTAGTACTAGAAGTACTAGGTAGAGCAATCAGGCAAGGAAAAAGAAATAAAAGGCATTCAAATTAGAAAGGAAGAAGTAAATCTGACTCTATGTACAGATTACATGATTTTATATATAGAAAATCCTAAAGACTCTACCAAAAAACTGTTATATCTAATCAATTAATTCAGTAAAGTTGCAGGATATAAAATAAATATACAAAAAATCAGTAGCATTTCTAAACACCAACAAAAATTATCTAAAAAAGGAATTTTTAAAAATGATCCTGTTTACAATAGGATAATATTATAAATATTGTACTGAATAAAATATTTAGGAATAAACTTAACCAAGAATGCTAAATGACCTCTACTCTGAAAACTACAAGACATTGGTAAAAGAAATTAATGAAGACACAGATATATGGAAAGTTATCTTGTGTTCATGTATTGGAAGAATTAAGATTGTTAAAATATCACTACTACTGAAATCCATCTATAGATTCAATGCAATCCCTACCAAGATTCCAATGGCATTTTTTTATAAAAGTAGAAAAAATGCTCCCCAAATTTATATGAAACCAGAAATGACTCCCAAAAGCCAAAACAATCCTGAGAAAGAACAAAATGGGAGGCATCACACTTCCTGGTTTCAAGTTAAATTATCAAGCTATATTAATCAAAACAGTATGGCACTGGCATAAAAAACAGACAAAAGGATCAACAGAGCAGAGCTGAGAGCCCAGAAATAAACCCACGCATATATATAGTCAACTAACATTTGACAAGGGAGGCAAGAATATTCAACGGAGAAAAGACAGTCTCTTCACTAAATAGTGCTGGTAAAATTGGATACTTACATGTAAACAGAATGACATTAGACTCCTATGTTACACCACTCACAAAAATTAACTTGAAATGGATTAAAGATTTAAATTTAAGACTTAAAACCATGGAAGTCCTAAGGACTCCATGACATAGGTCTTGACAATAATTTTTTAAAGATTTTATTTATTTGAGTGAGAGAGAGAACATGAGCCAAGAAAGGGGCAGAGGGAAAAGGAAGGCGACAATGATTTTTTGGGTATGACACCTATAGTATAAGCAACAAAATTCAAAAAATTAACAAATGAAACTACATCAAATAAAAAAGTCTCTGCACAGCAAAAGAAAAAATAAAGTGAAAAGTGAGAAGGCAACCTAGAGAACAGGAAAAATATTTACAAATCATGTATCTGATAAAAGACTAATATCCAAAATACATAAAGACCTCACACAACTCAATAGCAAAAAAAATTAATAATTCCGTTAAAAACAGGCAAATGACCTGAGTAGACATTTTTCCAAAGAAGATACTACAAGGCCAACAGGTACTATGGTGGCCAACAGGTATATGAAAGGATGCTCAACATCACTAGTCATTAGTGAAATGCAAAAAAATCAGTAGCATTGATTATTGCCATCATCAAACCCACAATGAAATATCATCTCACATCTGTTAGAATGCTCCTTATCAAAAAGACAAGAGATAATAAAAGCTGGCAAGGATGTACAGAAAAGGGAACACTTGAACACCACTCGTAGGATTGTAAACTGGTATAGCCACTATGGAAAACAGTATGGAGGATTCTCAAAAAGTTAAAAATAGAGCAACCATATGATCTGGCAACTCTACCTCTGGGAATATATCCAAAGAAGATGAAAACACTATCTCAAAATGATATGTGCACCCCCATGTTGTAGCAGCAATATTTGTAACAGGCAAGACATGGAAACAACTTAAGTGTTCATCAGTAGATGAATGGATAAAGCAGTCGTGGCATATATATATATATACACACATGTATATATATGTATGTGTATATATGTTATATATGTGTGTGTGTGTACATAATGGAATATTATTGAGGCATAAAAAAACAAGGAAATCCTGCCATTTACAGTAACACTAATGGCATTATGTGAGTGAAGTAAGTCAGCGAAAGACAAATGATGTATGATCTCACTTATATGTGGAACTGAAAGAAAGAATAGAAAGAAAGAAAAAAAGAAAAAAGAAATGAAAAGAAAAAAGAAAACCAAACTCACAGAAAAAGAGATCAGATTTGTAGTTACCAGAGGTTGGGGGCGGAGGAGGGGAATTTGGAGGAAAGTAGTCAAAAGATACAAACTTCCAGTTATAAGATAAATGGTACTAGGGAAGTCATGTACAACATGATGACTATAGTTAACACTGCTATATGATATATAGGAAAGATATCTAGAGAGTAAATCCTAAGAGTTCTTATCACAAAGAAAATTATTTTCATTTTTTCTTTTTCTTTTTACTGAATCTATATGAGATGTTGGATATTCTTTAAACTTACTGCAATAATCATTTAAAAATATATGTAAGTCGAGCCTTTACACTGTACATCTTAAATTTATCCAGTCATGAATGTCAATTATATTAATAAAACTGGAAAAAAGACTAAAAAAATAAGGTCCTAAAGTTTAGAAGTCAGGGAAGGAACATATAAATTTGATCAGGACCTATATTATAATATTTGAAGTGAATGAGTGTCAAATGACTAAGGTTGTCAAAGGAAAGAATATTAAATAAATTTATTATTTTAGATAGTAGGCATTTAAAGAATGTCTACAATTGGTAGATACATTCTGGTCTCAAAGCATTACATGCCATTTATGACAATTCCAAAATTTATGTTTCCACACCGCTGAATTCCAGATTCATATATACAATTTCCTACTTTACTTTTACTTAGCTATCTAATATTATAGGCTTTTCAGTTGTTAACAGTTTCAAAACTAAACTTCCAGCTCCTGTCAATCTCTAATGTATGGCCTTCCATATTCCAATAAATGACATTTCCATTTTATAGTTACTCATGTCAAAATCTTCAGATTATCTTTATTTCTTTCCTTTATACCTAACATCTGGTCCATAAGCAAATCCATACAACTCTATCTTCAGAACCCTTAATGACCAGATCTGACCACTTTTCACCACTTCCACTACCACTATCCTTGCCATCATTAATTCTCACACGTTATTTTACTTACCTAATCAATCTCCCTGATTACATCCTTGTTTCCATACAGTCTATTCTCCATATAGCAGCTAAATAATTCTCTTAAAACCTATTAAATCACTTCAGTCCTTTGCTCAAAACTCTCCAATAAGCTTCCCATCTCACTTAGGAGAAAAACCCAAAGTTCTTAATTGTCTTAGGGCCCCATATGGTTTGCTCTCCCTCCAACCTTTCTGATTTAATTTCTTACGAGTTTGTCCTTTCTTACTTGATTCCACTTATACTAATTTACCCTCAATTCAATGAACATACTGAGCATGCTCCCATCTCAAGACCTTTGCATCCACTGCCTAGAACACTTATCCTAGTAGGTTGTACCTGGCACTTCCTTCTGGTCTTTGCTCAATGCCTTTCAGTGATGCCTTCCCTTAGTCTCTTGTATCACAATCACCTTCCCAATCCAAGTACTCCCTATTTCCTTTACTCTGTTTCACTTTTCTTAATAATATTTATCACCACCAGTAAGTAAAGAGGTAACATCAAGCCTGCACTCATTCAAGACCACCTGGAAGAATGATCTTGAAGTCTTATTTCTCACAGCACTATTTTCTTAGAAAATACAGAATTAAAATAAATGTATAATGTTGTATCTTCCTAGTGTACTGTGAGGGACTGCACTTGAAGTAGATGAGATGAGTTCAAGGTGACCAAATGCACCATACCTTTTGTCCATAGTAGCCTAACATGTCCCGTGTGAGTGAGGTGACAAATGAAACCTTATAATTTGGGGAGCTGGTGGGCTGGTGAGATTAAGATGCCATAAATGCTGTTATTACCTATTCTGTATCTTTCTATAAACCTAAGTAAATCTAATATTAGATTAAAAGTTGTAATGTATGGATCAAACTGCCTATTCAAACCCTTATCAACTGCTGTTTCATGCACTACCTGACATATAATCATTTTTCTACTTCCAGTTTCTCCCACCAGAACAAAAACCCCATTAGAATTTTTCATTCTTGTCCACTATTCTATGACCAGAGTCAAATATAAAATATACTATATGTATATACACATACATTTAAAATATAAAAACATAAATATTTTTATACTGGATATAAAATATACTATATGTATACACACACACACACATATATATACATTTATATGTTAATCATGGGACAAAAGAAGAAAGAAGATCCAATAAAAAGTAAGCACCAAAGAGATCAGAGGAAATCTATAAACTTCGGAAAGATGAGAATAGTCAACTACATTAAATGCTGCAAAGATAGTGAATATGATAATAAACACAAGATTCCCATAATGTTTAATAATTGTTAAGTCACTAGTAATACTGGAGAATTTGGTGGAGAAGTGAGAAAAGAAGTTAAATTGCTACCAAAAATAATTAGTGAGTGTTGCAGAAGTAACAATTTTATTTTTTTTTTTATTTTTTTTTTTATAAATTAATTTTTATTGGTGTTCAATTTACCAACATACAGAATAACACCCAGTGCTCATCCCGTCAAGTGTACCCCTCAGTGCCCGCACCCATTCACCCCCACCCCCCACCCTCCTCCCCCTCCACCACCCCTAGTTCGTTTCCCAGAGTTAGAAGTCTTTATGTTTTGTCTCCCTTTCTGATATTTCTCAGACATTTCTTCTCCCTTCCCTTATATTCCCTTTCGCTATTATTCATATTCCCCAAATGAATGAGAACATACACTGTTTGTCCTTCTCCGGTTAAGAAGTAACAATTTTAAAAGAATAAACTGAGGGCCTGAAAAAATCAGAGGCAAACTAAATAAAAAGTGGAGAAATTAACATGTTTTTTATATGCAGCAAACTTCAAATTACTTACCAATTTCTTGTTGTGATGAGAGAAGGTTTAAATTTCCTGCGGAATTATGTTCACTAAACTGAAAAATAATTTCATTCATTATTACTCATGAAGTCAGTAGAACAGTATATATATGGCATTTATATTGGACTATAAAGCCTGGTTCTTCTAATTAGCATAATAAATATAGACAAAATGGTAAGAGCCTATAGCATACTACTGTACTTTAAAAAAAGAGACCTATCTTTAAAACCTATCATTTGCTTATAGTAAAATAAGGCTCATTTTCTATTTCATTAATTTCTTTTATCTTATTTTTTCATTATATTTACATTGGGTTTATTTTGTTCTTATTTTTATAGATTTTCAAGGTTACTTAAGACTTTTCTATTAATTGAATTACTTAAAATAATAATTAAATTATCTAAAGCTATGGTTTTGTTTTGGTTTTGGCAACATTCTTCAATTTTGATACACTGAATTTTCATAATCATTCATTTCAAAATCTTTTCTAATTTTTCTCATGATTTCTTCTTTGATCCATGGCCTAGTTATTTACAATTTTCCTTCTCTGTTATTATTGATTTCTAATTTAGTTATATTGTGGGCAGAGAACATATTCTTTGTGATTTCAATCCTTTGAAATTTTTTATGACTTATTTTATGGCCCAGAATATGGTCTTGGTGAATGTACCAGCAGCACTTGGAAAGAATATACAGGCACACCTCAGAAATATTACAAATTTGGTTCCAGATCACCACAAAAATGTGAATACACAATAAAGGAGATCAAATGAATTTTTTGGTCTCCCAATGCATATAAAAGTTACATTTACACTATACTATTAAGTGTGCAACAGCATCATGTCTTAAATGCACATACTTAATATTTTAAAATACATTTTGCTAAAAAAATGCTAACCTTCACCTGAGCTTTCAGTGAGTTTTAATCACGGACCACAGACCTCCCTAACAAATATAATAATGAAAGAGTTTGAAATATTGTGACAATTACCAAAATGTGACACAGAGATACAAGGTGAGAAAATGCTGTTGGAAAAATGATGCCAGTAGACTTGCTTGGCAGAGGTTTGCCACAAACTTTCAATTTATTAAAAAAAAAGCAGTATCTTCAAAGTATAATAAAATAAGACATGCCCATATAAGCTGCTATTGGTGGATGTGGTTGGTGTTCTCTACATGTCAGTTAGGTCAAGGGAATTGGTGGTGGTGTTCAGATTTTATAGATCTTTATTGATTATGTTGTCTAATTCAATCAATTTTTGAGAGAAGAGTACTAGAAATCTCCACACAAGTTTGTGGTTTTTTTTCTATTTCTCCCTTTAATTTGGTCGATTTTTGTTTCTGTATTTTTTTTCTAGTATAGTTGACACACAACGTTACATTAGTTTTTGGTATACAACTTCGTGAATTGACAAGTTTATATATTATGCTACGTTTATACATTATGCTATGTTCATCACATTGATAGCTACAATCTGTCCCATTACATTGCTATTACATATCATTGACTGTATTACTTATTGTCTGCTTTTCATTTGTTTCTGTATTTTGAAGCTATTATCAGGCATATACACATTTGTCATTATTATATCTTCCTTAAGAACTGGCCCCTTTATCCTTAAGAAATGTCCTTCTTTATATCTAGCAATATTCCTTGCTTGAAGATGACCTAAAATCATATAAGTATAGCCATTTTACCTTCTTATAGTTTTTTTATATATCTTTTTCTTTCCATTTACTTTTTTTACTTTCAAGATTTTACTTATATTGCAGTTAACTACAGTATAGTATGAGTTTCAGGTGTAGAACTTACTGCTTCATCACTTACATATAACACCCAGTGCTCATTACAAGTGCCCTTTTTAATGCCCATCACCCATTTACTCCACCCCCCCACCCATCTCCTCTCTAGCAACACTGTTTGTTCCTGATTGTTAAGAGTTTCTTATAGTTTTCTTCCCTCTCTGTTATCTTTATTTTTCCTTCTCTTCCCCATGTTCATCTGTTTTGTTTCTTAAATTCTACATTTGAATGAAATCCTCCTTGTCTTTCACTGATTGACTTATTTCGCTTAGCATAATACCCTCTGGTTCCATCCATATCATTGCACATGACTAGATTTCATTCTTTTTAGTGACTGATTAATATTCCAGTGTGTGTGTGTTTGTGTGTGTGTGTGTGTGTATCATATCATTTGCAAATAATGAAAGTTTTATGGGTCGAAGGAGAGCACTTACTGTAATGATCACTGGGTGTTGTATGTAAAAGTGACGAATCACTAAATTCTACCCTGAAATTAATATTACACTACATATTAACTAACTGGAATTTAAATAAAAACTTGAAAAAATTAAAAATAAGGTGTGTTTCTTATTGATAGCTTATAGTTAGGTCATGCTTTTTGATCCACTCTTAAAATCTCCACCTTTAATGAAGTGTTGAGCCCATTTATAGTTAATGTGATTATTAAAACCTCATATTTTGTTTGTATTCTGTTTGCTTTCTCTGTGTCTTGTTACTTTATTAATTCTTTGCTTTATTTTGGGTTAATGGGGGTTTTTTAGAATTCCATTTTAATTATTGCCAATCTTAATTTGAACATTTTCTTGATTATTCTTGACCAGGAAACTTAGCAATTATCTGCCAATCTCATTCCCCACCCCAACACTACAAAGCAAAACCATACAAAAAGTTAAAGTTGAACCATCTTGCCAGGATCCCAATTAGATTAGAACTGGATTACATTTATAAATTATTTTGGGAAGAAATACATATTTACAGTATTTTATTCCCATCTATCTACTTGGTATGTCTCCATGCACTCAATAAGTTTTTAGTAATTTTTGTGGTTTGCTTTATCCATATGTACATGTTTCCTGTTAAAGTTACATATATGTATTTTATATTAAAGTTAATATTGTAAATGGTAATTGTCTAACTATATTCTACTTTTTTTATACCCAGCACATACCTTCTGGGAATTACCTGGTTTTAAAATAAGCACTGAAATAAAAATTGGGAAAAAATTGAAGACATGAAGTTCTATGAAATGTATAGTACTATATCAACCATCAATAAACTTATAATTTCAACAATTTAATATAATGTGGGGGGTGTAGGAATAAAATATTTTAATTCACTAAAACTAGCTAAATGTTACTAATTTAAATGAGCAACAAAAATACAATACTTATTATATTACACTGCTACATACATCAGCATTATTAAGTGGGTAGAATTTTTCTAAGGTTTTACGCATATAAACTCATTCAATATCCATAAAACCAATAGATAAAAGTTCTTATTTCCATGTTACAGATGAGAAACGGAGAGCTATGTACTCAAAATCCTACATCCTGTACACACTCAACTAGTGTGGCATCAGAGTCTAGTCTTAGCCACTACACCAGGCTATCTTTACTGATCAAATAAAGCACATCTTAATTTTCAGTTTCAATTGCCAAATATAGAAATAAGCACTTGACTGTTTTATCACTGTATAACAGAAATCACTATTAGAAGAAAATTAGGTCTTTTATTAACTAATAATGTTGCTATGTACATATACATATAACCTGGAGAATTTTTCACAGTAAGAATGTGCAAAGTTCATTTAGAAGTTAGGCACATGAACTATGAAGCCAAATTAATTTTAAACTGCCCTTTAACTGCAATTTAAGTCATCCCTATCCTGAAATTGCTTTTTTTATCAACAGATCTCAACTGAAGGCACCTGAAGTTCAAAACAACATAATGGGGGAATTCTGCCACCTATCCATACTCAGAATCTTTTTTAAAAAGTTGCCTCTGCTGGGCAGCCTGGGTGGCTCAGTGGTTTAGTGCTGCCTTCAACCCAGGGCTTGATCCTGGGGACCCGGGATCGAGTCCCGCGTCAGGTTCCCTGCATGGAGCCTGCTTTTCCCTCTGCCTGTGTCTCTGCTTCTCTCTCTCTGTGTCTGTCGTGAATAAATAAATAAAATCTTTTTAAAAATTGCCTCTGCTTTGTACTCTGTCCCAAACAGTTTGATACTAAAGAAATTACTTGAGGGGCATCTGGGTGGCTCAGTCAGTGAAGCCTCCAACTATTGGTTACCACTCAGGTCATGATCTCAGGGTCGTGATATGGAGTCTCAAACAGAGCTCCACACTCAGTGGAGAGTCTGCTTAAGATTATCTCCCTCCCCCTCTGCCCCTTCTCTCTCATAAATAAATCTTAAAAAAGAAAAATTCCTTCTTTCTCCCTCTGCCCCTCCCTACCCATTTGTGTGTGTGCGTATGTGTGTGCTCTCTCCCTCTTAAACAAATATTACTTGAGGTTCCAGTATACAGTTTGTTAGAAATAAAATTTTAACTTCTCATATTACCTGATCTGATGAGATTTCTGAATCAAATATGGTAGAATCAAATAAATTCAATCCAGGAGATCTAGAAGTATAATTCATAAGAAAAGAAAATCCAGGGGATTCCTTTTGTGTTTGACCTTCAGGAATTATATTTCTATTTCTGTTACAGAAAAATAAAAAATAATTAAAATGTTAAAAATATATTACTAAATATTGAAGACTGGTAAGCACCATAAGCAATAGCACAGAAGAATTAGCAGAGCAGTGAAAGGGAGGGAATAGTTATTGAAGTGACAAACCTCTTGAGAAAAAGATGGCTTGAGGTGGAGAATAATGTTAAAGTAGAACAATCAATTATGAAATAAAAATCAATTCCAACTGAGAATATACTGTCAGGCTCTATTCTAGATATCTCCACTGGCATTAACATACTTATTCCTCACAGTAACTATGAAATTGGTACTATTATTACCATCTCCATTTTACAAAAGAAAATTCTGAAATCTAGGAAGGTTAAATGACTTTCTCTCAAGAAATTTAAATGCCAGAATTGGGATTTGAATTCAACAATCCAGATTCAAAGTCCAAGCTCTTAACTTTGAGGCTATACTGTCTCCAAGATCTTGAGTGTCAATTACAAGGTTGTAGTCTTGATGAGGAGTCAGCTATTATATATTATTGCATAAGGAAGTTAAACTATAAAATTATTTGGGAAAAATAATTAGAGAATAGAGTGGTTAAATACATGAATTCTGGAGATAGAGCTGCCTGAGTTTGAATTTCAACTCAATTACTGACAAGTTGTATCACCTGGGATTGTTTCCTCTTCTATAAAATAAGCATAATGTATTTACATCTCATAAAGTTGTGAATATTAAATGAGCAATATTTATAAAATATATTTTTAAAGATTTTATTCATTTATTCATGAGAGACAGAGAGAGAGACAGAGACAGAGACAGAAAGGGGGGGTAGAGGCAGAAACACAGACAGAGGGAGAAGCAGACTTCATGCAGGGAGCCTGATGTGGGACTCAATCCTGGGTCTCCAGGATCAGACCCTGGGCCAAAAGCTCTGACCACTGAGCCACCCGGGCTGCCCAAGCAATATTTATAAAATATTTAGATGAAGATCAGTTCTCTCATCCAGAAATAGAGATTTTAGCATATGGCTGCCATATCCTTTTACAGTTCTTATATTTGATGGGTTCCACTTTGAATATACTGTATGTGAGACCACAGCATGACTTTCATATATATAAAACTCTTACTAGCAATTTAAAATGCAGAAGTAGAACATGGGTAAGAGATTTCTGAAGAGGAATCTGTTTGACATGTGTTTTAAAAGAATCTTTGGGATCCCTGGGTGGCTCAGCGATTTAGTGCCTGCCTTCGGCCCAGGGTGTGATCCTGGAGACCTGGGATCGAGTCCCACATCAGGCTCCCTGCATGGAGCCTGCTTCTCCCTCTGCCTGTGTCTCTGCCTCTCTCTCTGTGTGTGTGCTCTCATGAATAAATAAATAAGATCTTTTTAAAAATCTTAAAGTTTATAGTTTTAAACGGATTAAACTAACAAAAAGGCTAAATGCAGCCTATTCTCTTGGATGTAAACCACAAATCTGTGGTTTCCAAAGTTAAATAATCAGGTTAGAGATACTTCTGCCTACCAAGGTAACTTAACAGATGGCAATTCTTGCTTTACACACTACAACACAAGGAAAAATGACAGCTGGAACATTATTCAATAATGTCCACAATCTACCATACATGATTATAGCTTTTTTAGCTTGACATTTAATTTTTCCGTATTTTTTTATCCTTTGGAAAATCTTAAATGTATACAGTATTGCCCACTAGATAAGTACTCAGAATTTATGCCATCTTCAGCTACATGCAGAAAAAATGGGGAAGAGGTTCTATGAAACAAGAATGGCAAAATGTTAATTGTTTAAACAGGATAGTAGGTACATGGATGTCCATTATGCTAGCCTCTCTCTCCTTTGTGTATTTGAAATATTCCATAATAAAAGTTTTTAAAGTTACAGGAACTAGACATTTTACTACTCCTATCAATTATTTATATAATATTGGCTCAATATATATATAGATTCTTTAATTATAAGTATTAATTAAAATCCTACATTTCAAAAGAGGGAGTTTTAGGGAACAATAATTTCTCCAAAGATTCAGGTGTTTTCACAGCTTCAGGAGTTCTTAAAAATAAAGGAATTTCTGGAGTTTGTGGGAGATTCTCAGCCCTTTCTTCTACTTCATCACTATTATTTTCTATTGGCTTCCCAAAATGTTCTGCACATATAACCTGCAAATTTAAAATAACAGAAAACTATAAAACTGTTATTTTTTAAAAAGAATGTTATTACATTAACAAATTCACATACGTAAAAATGAGGTAGAAACACCATATTAATCTATGATGTTATCATTTCATAGACAAAATAAGTAAAATAAAAATAACTGATAAAAGTGATACCAAAATATAATTGTACAAAATATGGAAAAATAATTAATTTTTAATTTTCTAATTTTTCTTTTCTTCCCAGCTCCACCACCTCCCTTACCTCTACCTGAAAAAAGTAAATGATAATCAGAACATACTCAAATTGATGAAGAAAAATGGTTGGGAATGATTTTTTTTTTTTAAATTTCCACATCATGCTCTGGCTCAGGAATTGTGAATGATACCTCCTTAAATGGAAAAAGTAATTTACTTCTGAGCAATCTTATTCTCATTGGCTGTGTTTTGTACTTTTTTGTCCTTACAGATTCATTATATTTACTCTCTCTGCAAACGTTGAGCACTTGAATACTAATTTTCCTTTATATCATTTTGTAAGGTAGGAATATGATTTCTCAATAATGTTTGCTATACTAAATCCTATTTCAGAAAAAATTTGGGTCTACCAAAAAAATTTATAATGTTCTTTTTACCTGTATTTCTTGAGCAGAATTCTACTATGTCATTAGTCTTGATTTAACCCTTGGTAGCTACTTAGTAAGTCAATATACATTGTTTCTACATCTATCATTGAAGGTTTCCATTACTGAAAAATATCTTGAAGATATTTCTGTGGCAACTACTGGTCTTGAACTGCCTTAGAAAATCATTCAATTTTAACAAAATTGTTTTCTTCAGCTGTGATTTAGTTATGGTGTCAATATATACAGTCAAATATTAGTGACAACTCTTTTTGTATATTTTCATGGTAACTTTTTGTGGCTTCATTTTTTAACTAAAACTTATCTAAGGGATAGAAGCTTTGACACCACAGGAGCTTGATTACTACCCTAATAACATGTATATCTCACATATATAATCTTCCTTAAACTTAATCTGAAATTAAAGTGGAAACAATATTTTAAATTGGAATATTTTGCTTAGGAATTAGAAACCAAACATTTGACTTACGTGTGCACATTTTGATTCTCTCAATTGTCTTACTGTCCCTTTAACTTCACACTCAGCATCTGTTTGTTATATGAGAACAAACTATTTTTGCTTTTGGCAATTTTATTGTAAATAAAACACATGAACAATAAGAAATTTCCAATGTTTAACTGTTTTTGACCTACAAAAATAGCAATTTCATGCAGCTTAACCCAATACATACAGATAAAAGAATAAGACCCATATGAACATTTTAATAAAGAAAATTATAGAGAATACCCATGTAACCACCACCCAGGTAAAGAAATAGAACATCACACATACTTCAAAAGGCCCATATTCCTTATATCATCCCCCTCAGCAGTCATCACTATCCTGACTTCTGTGAAGATTATTTCCTTGATTTGCTTAATATAGTTTTATCATCTAAGTAATACAGTTTTTTTTCCTGTTTTAAAATGTTACATGATGAAACAGTAACACAGGTATTCTTTGTCTTGCTTTTTTTTGTTCAGCATAGGCTTGTGAAATTCATCTGTATTGTTTGATATAGACATAGTTTGCTTACTTGTATTGATGTAAAGTATTCCATTGTACAAACACAACACATTTATCTATTCTACCAGCAAATGGACATTCGGGGAGTTTCTACTTTGAGACTATTGTAAACAGTAACGATATGAACATTCCTTTGTATATACTTTATATATACTCGTATGTATGTAGTTGCATTTCTCCAGGTATATACCTAGGAGTAGAATTACAAGGCATAAAGTGTGCCTATCTTACATTTTGCCAAATTTTAAAATATTCTCCAAAGCTTAGTTTCCAAACTATCAATTTTTGTTGTGGTACCCAGTCATCCCAAGTTACCTAAGGAACTCATTCAATTTCACCAAACTATTAGCTCTAATCATAATTTAGATACAATCTCAACATACAGTCATTTATAAACGAGAGTTCCTCCCAATAGCTATGAGAGTTATCATACTATATTCCTATCAATACTTAGTATTGTCAGACTTTCTGAATTTGTTAATCTGTTGGATGTGTAATAACTCACTGTGGTTTTATTTTTTAGTTTCCTAATTTGCTGAGCATCTTTTCATGTGTTTATTTGCCATGAGTTTCTACATATTAAGTGCCTATTTGCATATTTTGCACACATTTCTAATTGGGCTTTTTCTTTTTGGTTTGTAGTTCTTTATACTTTTTTGGAAACCAGTTCTTTGACAGGTTTATGTGTTGAAAATATATCCTCATCTTCCATTCTTTTTATAATGTCTTTTGATGAACAGAAATTCTTAAGTTTTATATAGCCTAATTTATCAACCTTTCATTTATGATTGGGCTTTTTAATTGTTTTTTTTAAAATTCTTATTTAGCAAATTCTTTCCTACCTAGAATAGATGTTTTTCTATTTGATCATCTGAAAGCTTTGTAGTTTTGCCTTTTGCATTTAAGTCACAACTATTATTTTCACCACATATTAACTTCCTCAAAAAACAGACTTGGAGATTGTTGAAGAGTCCTTTTTTTCTCCTCAGATAATTACTCGCCTTTTTGGGTATGAAGCCTTAACATATATGTTGAATGGTAGCTAGACTATGCATTTCCCCACATATCTGTATTAGGGGTGCACTGTTCCTAGAAAACAGCCATTCATCCTTTGACATTTTATCAGCCTAGTATATACAGAGGATTATGAACAGGTGGAACAAATCACCTGGGCAGGTAAGATATAATTATTCCAGAAGACAGCAGGAAAAAAATCCATCTACATGGAACAAGCACATTATACTGGTTGAATATTATATTGAAAGTGAGAGAAATAGAAATAGTTTAAGACCATATTGAATATACATTTACAGAATTTTCTACTGCCAAAATGAGCCCAGTTTTTTTTAAAGATTTTATTTATTTATTTAAGAGAGAGAGAGAGAACACAAGTAAGGGGAGCAGCAGGCAGAGGGAGAGGGAGAAGCAGGCTCTCCTTGGAGCAGGGAACCCGATGTGGGCTCCATCCCAGGGTCCTGGGATCAAGACCTGAGCCACAAGCAGACACTTAACCAACTGAGCCACCCAGATGCTCCTTATTTTTTAAGTTTTTATTTGAACTCCAGTTAGTTAACACAGTGTAATATTAGTTTCAGGTGTGCAATTTAGTGATTCAACATTTACAAACAACATCTGGTGCTCATCAAAAGTGCATGCCTTAAATCCCATCACCTATTTAACCCATCCCCCCACCTCCCTCTTCTCTGGTAACCATCAGATACCAGTTTTGTTGATTTTGTTTCCTTCGAAAACTTTTTATTTTGGTGAGGTCCCAAGACTTCATTTTTGCTTTTGTTTCCCTTGCCTCAGGAGATGTATCTAGTAAGAAGTTGCTATGGCCAATGTCAGAGGTTACTGTTATCCTCTAGGATTTTAATGGTTTACTATCTCACATTTAGCTCTTTCATTCATCTTGAATTTATTTTTATGTATGGTTTAAGAAAATAGTCCAGTTCATTCTTTTGCATATGGCTGTCTAGTTTTCCTAACACCTTTTGTTGAAGAAACTGTCTTCTTTCCATTGGATATTCTTTCCTGCATTGACAAAGATTAATTGACCATTTAACTGTGGGTTCATTTCCGGGTTTTCTACTCTGTTCCACTGATCTACATGTCTGTTTTTGTGCTAGTACCTACTGTCTTGATCACTACAGCTTTGTAATATAAGCTGAAATCTGGAATTGTGATGCCTCCAGCTTTGCTTTTCAAGGTTGCTTTGGCTATTCAGGGTTTTTGTGGTTCCATACAAATTTTGGATTATTTGTTCTAGCTCTGTGAAAAATGCTAGTGGTATTTTGATAAAGATCGCATCATATGTATATGGATTGCTTTGGGAATGTACACACTTTAACAGTATTTGTTCTTCCAATCCATGAGCATGGAAGGTTTTTCCATTTCCTTGTGTCAGCTTCAATTTCTTTATCAGTGTTTTACAGTTTTCAGAATACAAGTCTTTCACCTCTTTAGTTAGGTTTATTCCTAGGTATCTTACAGTTTGGGCACAATTATAAATAGGATTGATTCCTTAATTACTCCTTCTGCTGCTTCATTATTAGCATATAGAAATGAAACAGATTTCTGTATGTTGATTTTACATTCTATGACTCTACTGAATACATGTTATCAGTTCTAGCAGTTTTTTGGTGGAGTCTTTCAGGTTTTCTATATAGAATATCATGTCATCTGCAAACCATGAGAGTTTTACTTCTCCCCTGCTGATTTGGCTGCCTTTTATTTCTTTTTGTTGTCTGACTGCTGTGGCTAGGACTTGCAGTATTATGTTGAATAAAACTGATGAGAGTAGACATCCCTGTCTTGTTTCTGACCATAGAGAAAAATCTCTGCTTTTCCCCTCTAAGGATGATTTTAGCTGTGGGTTCTTTGTATATGGACTTTATTATGTTGAGGTATGTTCCCTCTAAATCCATTTTGTTAAGGGTTTTTATCATGAATGGATGTTGTACTTTGTCAACTGCTTTTTCTGCAACTATTGAAATCGTATGGTTCTTATCCTTTCTTTTATTAATGTGATGTATCACTTTGATTGATTTGTGAATATTTAACCACCCTTGCAACTCAGAAATAAATCCCACTTGATAGTGGTGAATGGTTCTTTTAATGTACTGCTGGATTTGGTTTGCTAGTATTTTTTGAGAATTTTTGCATCCATGTACATCAGAGATATTGGCCTGTAGTTTTCTTTTTCAGTGGAGTCTTTATCTGGTTTTGGTATCAGAGTAATGCTGGCCTCATAAAATGAATTTTGAAGTTTTCCTTCCTTTTCTATCTTTTGGAATAGTTTGAGAAAATACGTATTAACTCTCCTTTAAATGTTTGGTAAAATTTGCCTGTGAAGCCATCTGGCCCTGGACTTTTACTTGTTGGGAGATTTTTTTTTTTACTACTAATTCAACAGAATTAGCCATTATAAAAACTTCAAAATAAAAGTATGTAATCCACATGCTTCAGAAGTAATAAGTGAAAACTTTTTATATAGCTTAATATATACATAGTGGAATAACTTATTCATTACTGGATTACCAATATACGCATGTATGTATATGTACATATGAGATGTCTTATGTTACACATTACATTATATATATACATAAAGACATGAAGGAGTTTTTTCAAGGATATGATACCCTTAAAAATTTCCAACACCTAGTTGATTCTAGGATAATAAAGTCATATATACATACATATATCTGTATATCCATATCCATATATATATATATATATATATATATACACATATCCTGTGGCCTATGATTTTATTCAAAGAAAATAATCCAAGATAAAAAGATTTATGTTAAAGAATATAGTAGCATTATTCATCATAGCAAAAAAAAAACCCAACCTGAAAACAATAAAATATTTAATATTTTAAAAGAGAATGGCTAAGTATAATAATGATATAAAAATAATTCAGTATTTTGAGAGAATGGCTAAATAAATTATAGCACATCCTTACAATGGTGTATGATACAGTCATTAAAAATAAAATCTATTTAATGGTGTAGAAAAATACCCTCAACAGTATATCAAGTAGAAAGAAAAGGTTACAAAATGATATACACAGTATGTTTCAAATTTGGGGGAAGAAATAAAAAAACACATATACATAGGAAAAAAGGATGAGGATGTATACCAATATGAACGGTGTTAGTTATACCTGGATGATGGTTTATTTTGGTTTATTTGTTTATTTTGTATTTTTCTCTGTTTTCCAAGTCTTTTACAAAGAAATGGTATGTTTTATATTTAGTGAAACATGTTTTTAAAACCAGGCATGCATGGCCATTTAACCAGATATGCAAATAATCCACAGTGTATCTGAATAGTATAAAAACTGGATATAATTTGTTACTTCCACTTAGGAAAAACATAAACAGCAAATACCTGCATCTCCTTTTTCAAACCATTGACTGCAAGCTGATTGTTTCTGTGGAGTTAACAATCTAAAATACAATAAATAAAATTTTTATATTATTTGCTGAGTTGATAAATTATTTCAGAAATCAAAGCATCTTCCTACTTTTGAAAGTTACCTGAAATGCATCATATTTTGTGAATTTTTAATAGCCACAGAATTTGAGCATTTTGAATGGATATTCAGAGTAGAGTCATTAAGTACCTAAACAAAAGAAATTAAACATTAGGACTGGCTACACAGAAAACAAATCTTTTGTTTGCCATAGTGACTGAGGATCATCCAAGAATACTGTCATTCTCCTCCTCATTATTATCAATATGAACAGCAACTATATACATTAACTGAAACCACTACATACAAAATATTGTCAAATACTGGGAAACAAAGTTTAAGACTCCTACAGAATTTGATGTTTTGGACCCATATAACAACTATGCTTGGTAGTATTTCTACATTTAAGGTAAACTTAAAATTTTTATCCCGTATTTATGACTAATCAAGTCAATCTTAACGTTTTCTCAAATGATTTATGTATCTATTCTCTATAACCTCTTAAATTGAACACAAAAAAGCAAAATAGGTTAAGAGATTAAAACCTGAATTTTTAAAAAATATGTATGAAAAAGGTATTATTTAATTTTTAGCTTTAATTAAATTTTATTTAATATTAATATCTAAGCCACTGTTTTTCTAATGTTTGTATTGTCTGTTTCAAGTTATTCATTCTCTGTCAGTTACTCATTTTGAAGAGTTCTGGATTTTTCTTATTTGATTCAACATAAAAATATTTTTATTTTAATATGAACGTTTACCCCATTTATTTTTGCTATAACCACCACTGGTCTTAATTCTGTCATTTTGTTGTGCTTTTAGATCATAGGAAAAGACTTTGCCTTGTCCCTTAAAGAGTAAGTGTTATTACTGTTTTGATGTATGTTTTAAAAAACATACATTTTGTATGGGTTTCCTGGTACAGGTATTTGTACAAATTTAGTCGTCGTTTAGATTAGATGTCAATAACTAAAACTGCTGAATATTTCCATTTTTATTTGTAATAAGTACCTATGAAACAGTCCTCCAAAGTAATTACACCAAATTACATACATTCCCACTATTGCTGACTTTACTAGATATTATCAAATGTTGTAGTGTATGCAAATCGGATCCAGAATGTCATTGCTTTAATATGCATTTCTCTGCACCCCTGAGCTCAAGCACCTTCTTATGTTTCGTGACACTTTTTCTGTACACTATCTTATCTTTTGCCTATTTAAAAAATTAATTTGTAAGCATTATGTATTTCTTTACATATTATAGATTCTGCATACCAATCTCCTGTCCATTCTGTCATTGTCTTTAACTTTGTTGGTGTCTTCTGTCACATAGAAGTTTTTTATTTTGATGTAGTACATTGATCAATTTGTCTTTACTTATACCACACTGTTATAAACACTGCATTTTGATAATGTTTACAAGTGTTCTGGGATGGGGCTCCCTTGGTGGCTCAGTCAGTGAAACCACCAATTCTTGATTTTGGCTCAGGTTTTTGTGACTAAGCCCCACAGTGGGCTCTGCACTGGGAGTGAAGCCTGCTTAAGATTCTTTCTCTTCCTCTCTCTTTGCCCCTCCCCTCCCACCCTGGTTCGCTTGTTCTCTCTCCTTCCTTAAAAAAAAAACAAAAAACAAAAAAACTGGGATGATGAAAATGTCCTGGAATTAAGACAGTGATGTAAAAAAAAAAAAAAGACAGTGGTGATGTTTACACTACCTCATGAATACACTAAAAACCACTGAGATGTACATTTTAAAATGAATTTTATGATAAACAATTTGATATCTAAGAATATGAGTTTTCCTTGCAATGTTTAAAAAGATCTTTTATTCTAAATCTTTATTTAAAATCATGTATTCTGCTAATGTAGTGTCAATATGACTGACAGACTTTTCTAATGCTATCATTGCAATTCTTGGGAAAACCAAGTTTTAGTTATATTATTTTTTAATGTTACATTGCCAAATTAGTTTTGCTTATAATTTTTTGGAGTTTTTTTTTTAATTTTTTGGAGTTCTACATGTATGTTCATTCTTGAGACTGATGTATAATTTTTTTCTTTCACTACCTTTATCATTGCTACCTAATGAATTAGCCATGCATAATTTGTTGGATAGTTTCCAACTTCTTCTATACTCTAGAATTGCTTATATAAAAAAATTGACCTCAACTGGCAATTTTGCCTCTCAGAGAACATCTGACAATGTCTGGAGACATTTTCTATTGTCTTTTTTTAGGAGTGAGGTGCTACTGGCCCCTAGGAGGTCACAGGATGACCTTATAACAAAGGATTTTCTGGCCTAAAATGTCAATAGTATAACAGTTTAGAAACTCTGATTTAGTCCTTAAAGGTTTGGTAGAATGCACCTGAAAACTGATTCTGATGTGTGTGTGTGTGGGTGTGTGTGTGTTTTTAAAGATTTTATTTATTTACTCGTGAAAGACACAGAGAGAGAGGCAGAGACAAAGGCACAGGTTCTGTGTGGGGAACTCGATGCAGGACTTGATCCCAGGACCCTGGGATCATGACCTGAGCCAAAGGCAGACGCTTAACCACTGAGCCACCCAGGTGTCCCAATTCTGGTGTGTTCTGAAAGGTGTGTATGTGTGTGTGTGACAGACGAATAAGGCAGGTATGGGAGAAAAGAGGAAAACACAGATTTCAAACACACACACTGGAATATTATTCAGCCATAAAAAATAATGAAATAATGAAAATTTGCAATGGTATGAATGGAGCTAGAGAGCATTATGCTAAGTGAAATAGTCAGAAAAAGATAAATACCATATGATTTCACTCATATGTAGAATTTAAGAAACAAGACAGATGAACACTGTGGGGGAAAAAACAGGCAAAACATAAAACAGACTTTTAATTATAGAGAACAAACCAAGGGTTGCTGGAGGGGAGGTAGGAAGGGGGAATGGGTTAAATGGGTGATGGGTATTAAGGAGGGCACTTAATGTGATGAGCACTAGATGCTGTATGTAAGTGATGAATTACTAAATCCTATACCTGAAACTAATATTACACTCTATGTTTAGTAACTAGAATTTAAAAACTTGGAAGAGAAAAAAAGTATATGGCTATATTTGTATATATCCCACAGAAGCACACTCTGTCGTATTTCTGATTATTGATTTGTTTGGAACTATTTATGACATCTTATTTATTTTCTATTTGTAATGTGTTCTATTTTTTTTAAGATTTTATTTATTCACTCATGAGAGACACACACAGAGAGAGAGAGAGAGGCAGAGACACAGAGACACAGGCAGAGGGACAAGCAGGCTCCACACAGGGAGCCCGACATGGGACTCGATCCCTGGGCCCCAGGATCACACCCCCGGTCAAAGACAGTGCCAAACCGCTGAGCCACCTGGGCTGCCCTGTTCTAGCTATTCTATCCACTCTCCCATTCCTGTCTTTGGTTAGACTAAGTTTTTGTTTTATCTTTTTTCTTCTACTATTTTAAAACTTACACACTCTACTTCTCTTATGTTGGTTGCCTTTACATGTTTAATACACATACATGAATTCACATTTTTCCAAAAATATATAAGTGAATCAGTATTTATTTCTTCTACCTCCATCCCCAAACAAAAAAAAACAAAAAAACTTGGGTAAACTTTTGTTTCCTTCATTTATCTTCCCACCTTCATTCCATATTGATCTTGTGTGAAATTTAAATACCAGATTTTTATATTTTTTGTCATTAATACATATTGAGAATTAGTAAGTTTCACTAATTACTTTGGTTACCAGTACACCTCTATCTGTATATATTATTTATGAATTAATGAAAGGCAATCATATTTTCCATTGAAAATTTCCCTCTGGATTATTTTCAGGGAGAATTTTCAGATGTGCCACACCAGAAGCTAGCTTTCTGTGTGGTATGTTCCTTGTTTTCCATAAGCATCAAGAATCCCCTAAGGTACCATCTATTGCTCTAACCCAAGCTCCTATACTTAGACTGCTTCCACCTGGAGACAGTCATCCCCTTGCTGATGACTGCCCAAAGGCATAGGGGATATGAGATGAACAGGTTTTAACTAACTTCCACTGAAGTAACCCAATCAATTACCTATTCATTGTCCCCTCAGCTATACCTTCTGCAAGAATATTGTATGCAAATCCTGGGCCACAATTTCCCTCTTCAATCCAATCCTGTTTTCCTCCTTCAGAAATATGTTTTTGGTCTACCAGGAACACAGCTTGGTTTGTTTGGTTGGGGCTTTTTTTGTTGTTGGTTTTTGTTTTTTGTTTTTCTGAGAGAAAGAGTGAGAGAGAACATGCAAGGGAGGGGCCATGGCAGAAGGAGAGAAAGGCTCCACGCCCAGAGTGGTGCTGAATTCAGGGCTCAACCTCATAACCCTGAGATCATAACCTGAGCCAAATTCTAGTCAGTCAGCTCCCCAGAGCTTGGTATTGCAAAATATCTTTTGTATTTTTAAGAGTGAGAAGGTCACAGTCTATGTTCAGACCGCCATATTGACATTCTTTTTAAGATTTTTAGACTTTGAGGTTGTAGTATCATCTGAGTTAATATATTTATAACACACACACACACACAAACCCATGTTCTAAATGCAGTACATTGCCTATCTCATTTAATGCAAGCAAATATTTAATTTATACTATGAAAAAAGAAAATGCCTACCTGCATCTTGTTTTCTTTCTGTCTAAAATCAATATTGGCAAGCTTTGCCTGCTTCACAGAACTTTCTTCTTTTTTATCTAGGTTATTAAATTGTACAACTTCAAATGAATTCCAGAGACAGAATCAATATTTATGCCCAACATTCAACCTACCCTTATAATTTAAAAAATCAAGTTACATGAATATTTAAATTAAAATATAGAAATGTGAAATTCCTACATAACTTTTAATTCCTCACTATATATATACCAGTTATTACAATAAGCATGAATGTAAAATGAAAGCCAGCTTACAAAATTACATCTTTATAATAAGGAACCAAAAACAACTAGAAAAAAAAGAACAGCTAATGCAGTTAATCTACTACAATGTAGTTAATCTAATCTGTGGATCCACTGAATGAAACATGATTCAAATCTTAGTGACTAAGTCACAAATACCATTAACACAAGTCTGCTACCCACTTTAATTATACATACTGATAACACAACTTCTCAAATGAAAAATTTATTATTATTCATCCTCTTCTGACAGCTGTGCAACTAGACAAGAATACTTTATTATCTTCTGAGTGATTTTTTTTTTAGAGAAAAAACTTTGCTATAGACCGCATAACTTGTTTGCTCTCAGAAAGAATCAAACTGGTACTTTCTTGAGTCTACCAGTCTCTAGTATTGTTTGTTCTTGCCTACACCACATGGTAACAAAAATTGCTTCTATTTCTTCTTCTATGTGTTTGCAGAGAAAATTAAGCTTTTAAATAATGAACAGATACTGTACCTATAACTTCTGGTTCTGAAGAATGCATCTTCATTGGTCTGACTAATTTCTGAGATTCATACGGAAGAAATAATTGACTGTTTTGAGGGGCTTTATTCAATATAAGTATATGTTGTTCATCTTTTTCAAAAATTCTAAAAGTGAATTACATTAAATATTTAGTAAGTAGAAAATTAATATATTTTAAAGCTAGGAGAGATATTTATGTACTATAGTTTAAAATCATTTTGCAGACAGTGAAATTGAGCTCCAGAAAATTTAACAGATCTGCCCAATATTATTAAATTACTTACTGGTGTCACAACTAAAGCACACTTTTCCTGATTAAGTCCAGTGCTCTTTTCGATATACCAAACTCTTGTTTTTAAAACATAATCATTTTTAAAGAATTTCTAAACCTGTCAAAAACATTTAACGAAAACTTATCCACAAAAAGCATGCCTATATTTCATAGTACTTTAAACTTTAAAAATAATTATTCAGAAACAAATCAGCTAGCATGAATCTAGAAATCACTAAAACAATATTATAATCTAAATATGTCTTTAAAGTTTTTTACAGGAAGAATAATTTCATTGAATTTTTCCTAAATTAAAGAAATAATTTTAACTATTGATTGTTAAATAACTTAAAAATGATGTTATTTATAACAATCAAAATAGACATTGAGTAAAAAATAACTAAGTTCCTCTCAATATAGAGGGGTTTTACAATACTATAACATTGTCAATGAAGTGGAATTCTTTCTGTACATGTACTTATTTTTCTAATCGACTTCTTCACAGAATTAAAGACACATTATTATGGTTGTGAGAAGTAGAAGGGGGGAATCAAGAAAATAATAGATCCAAGGAAGTGAGATATGAGAAATTAACTAGGGAGAGGAAAGTGTTGAAAAGTCAGGACAATAGTAATGGAGCCTAAAGAGACGACTTTAAGAATTAAAAAGGGGGGATCCCTGGGTGGCGCAGTGGTTTGGCGCCTGCCTTTGGCCCGGGGCGTGATTCTGGAGACCCGGGATCGAATCCCACATCGGGCTCCCGGTGCATGGAGCCTGCTTCTCCCTCTGCCTGTGTCTCTGCCTCTCTCTCTCACTGTGTGCCTATCATAAATAAATAAAAATTAAAAATATATATATATATTTAAAAAAAAAGAATTAAAAAGGGTACAGGCAGAAAGAGAAGAGACAGAATCAGAAACAGCAACAGCAATACACCTATTTTTCTGCCACACAATAACAGACAAAATCAATCTTTTTTTTAATGCCCCCACCACTGATGTCTACTTTTTCACCATTAGGAGGAAAGACAAGGAAACATATTATTCCACAGATTCAATAGCATTTTGATTCATCTTTACTCTCTGTGGCAAAAGAACTAATCAAGCTGGTGACAGGATGATAAAAAGGTAAATACAAGACTGTTCCCACTACTGTTCCTGTTTTATTCCTACTGGTGACTCATCATGGAAAACTCAATGAAATGTACAATGACAGATTATAAAACAGCAAATGTGCTGCTACTACATTATTTCTCTACACATTATCCTTGTCCTTGCTAAGTAACAAGTGTATTTGAATGTTAGTCTATAATATTTAAAGGTAAAATCAGTATTTTTCATAAGAAATAAGCAGAAAATAGCCTGCACAAAAATGTATATAGATTCTATGTGAATATTAGTGGTTTGGGATAGAATATAGAATCAAATGTTCAGATGCAGAATAACCATTCATAAAACCCAAACCCATTTTAAAGTTTACCTAGGGGCGCCTGGGTGGCTCAGTCAGTTGAGCATCCAACTCTTGATCTCAGGTCAGGTCATGATCTCAGGGTCATGAGATCAAGCCCTGGATCCAGCTCCACACTCAGTATAGAGACTGCTTGAGATTCTCCTTCCCTTGCCTTCTGCCCCTCCCCCTGCTCATATATGCTCTTTCCCTAAATAAATAAAACCTTAAAAAAAAAAAAGTTTACCAATACCTTTCTTTCAATTCCTTTCTCTTTTCCATGTGTTTATTTTTTTCTTCCAGAGTTTCTGCAAGATTCCTAGTTTCACGAAATCTTGCAATCTGCTAAAAAATAAAATGACAAAACAAAATAATTATCTGCAAAGCATTAAGAACCATATGCTTCAACTAATGAATATGATTTCTATATAATCACAGAATTTATGCTTTTGTGGCATTAGGTATCTTTTAGTGAAAGTTGCTAAAACAGGGTCAAAATTAACAACAAATCATACTCCTTTAACTTTTCCTTACAACTCCATTAGCAAACCTAGATTCAATGAACTTCCATTTTCTTTTTTATTTTTTTTAAGATTTATTTATTCATGAGAGACACAGAGAGAGAAAGAGAGGCTGAGACACAGGCAAAGGGAGAAGCAGGCTGCATGCAGGGAGCCTGATGTGGGACTCAATCCCGGGTCTCCAGGATCACACCCTGGGCCGAAGGCAGGTGCCAAACCGCTGAGCCACTGGGAATCCCCTCCATTTTCTCTTTTAAAAAGGACAGTCAGAAGCAAAGTAGGTATCAATTTCCTATATATAGATATAGTTACCATATATTTTAAAGGAAGTAGCATCTACTTTGTTTTTATTACTAAAATGATTTGTTATTTGGAACCTTATAGCTACAAATGGTAAATATATCTTCAATAGACTTCAAAAAATTCAGAAAATTAGCTATTCAGTTTTTTTCTCAGAATTTGGAAGTGACTTTGATGAGTTCTCAATTAAAACCATTTCAATAGATGACACTAAACATGTATTCAAGAAAATACATGCACCATCAATCTTAAAGGCTAAACTAGTTCTAGCTTAGCTCTATAAAGATTATAGCCATAAATTTTCAAGATTAAATTCTCTGAACAATCCACTGTCTTGTTCTCTTTTTTAACAACATTGTTGTAAGCCCTTTTAGTGCCTTTAAATTCCTGTTCTTAAGCTGCATCTTGTTCTTTATTGATCTTTTTTCAGCTGCCAAAGAAAACTGTTCCCTAAAACTCATAACTAAATATACTCAGTACCTAAAACATATTTTGGCTCCAAAGGCAATCTAAGGTAAATAAATTATCATAAGTCTTTCTCCATGGGGTGCCTGGGTGGCTCAGCCAGTTAAGTGTCCACCTTCAGTTTAGGTCATGATCCCAGGATCCTAGGATGGAGCCTCAATCCCCACTAAGCAGGGAGCCCACTTCTCCCTCTGCTCCTCCCCATGCTCATGCTTCCTCTCTCTTTCTCTCAAATAAATAAATAAAATCTTTTTAAAAAATAAGTCTTTCTCCATACTTAGGCTCTTTAGAAACAGCTCCTCTAAGACTGCTGACTAACAGCATTATACTTCTACATTAATACATACACTAGAAACATATTTAAAAATATATACCTGGTTTAAATAATTAATTTCTATTTCCACTTCATCTACTTCTTTCTTCAATTCAGATGAACTTTTGGAAAAATTGCTGGCATGTTTAAGAATATCTTGTGTTTTACATCTCACATTAACACTTTCATGTTAAGGAATTTTGTTATGGGAGTAAATTTTACATTTATAATACATGTACCATATCAGAAATAGTTAATATTATGTAATGTTATATATATGTTCCATGTAAACAATAAGCAACAATAACAGTACCTGAAAATAGAGATAAAGCTAACATAAACATTTTGCTGACAAAGATAATTTATTGCTTACCTATGTTATATATGGAGCAAATTATATGTTATATATTGAGCAAACATTTCATCTAAAATATTTGTTAGAATTTTTTCTTTCACTTAAATAATTACAGGTGGTTTTTTTGCTTTTGTTTTTTTATCCAAGTTCATCATGTCATTTGGCATGGTTAATAATACATAATCAATTCAGATCCAAATTTAAATTCTTGTATTTCCATTATTTCTTTATTCCAAAGCCAACATTTATTTTAATCCACCTGGGGTGCCTGCATGGCTCAGTCAGTTGGGTGTCTGACTCTTGATTTTGGTTCAGGTCCTCGTCTTTGGGTCATGGGACCGAGCCCCACAGTGGGGCTCCATGTTCAGCAGGGAGTCTGCTTGAAATTTTCTCTCTCCCTTTGCCCCTCCTGTCCACAAACACGCATATGCTCTCTCTAAAATAATAAATATATCTTTAAAAAATATAAATAAATAAATAGATAGATAGATAAAATAAAAAGCCAATGAAAAATTAGTGAAAGGGAATAAAGGGAAAGGAGAGAAAATGAGTGAAAATATCAGTGAGGGTGACAAAACATGAGAGACACCTAACTCTGGGAAACGAACAAGACGTAGTGGAAAGTGAGGCAGGTGGGGGGTTGGGGTGGCTAGTTGATGGGCACTGGGGGGGGGGCACTTGGCAGGATGAGCACTGGGTGTTATGCTATATGTTGGCAAATTGAACTCCAATCTAAAAATAAATAAATAAATAAATAAATAAATAAATAAATATCCACCCAATTTCCCTTTTCTTGCTCTGTAAGGTTCATCAGTGCAGCCTGCAGGGCTTAAAAGACAGCTAGATCTTCCATCTGGTCTTTCTGCATGGACTGGATTTATACCCAATTTTAAGTAGAGAATTTCTCACCTGTTAACAGACATCTTGCATGGTTATTAACTACTACAATTTCCTAAGTTACTCTATAAACCATTAAGGAGAAATTAAAAATTAATAGAATAGTGATAGTGAACAAGAACTCCAGAGAAAACCTGTCTATTTAAGGCAGAATATTTCCTACTCTGTCTTAAAATACATAATATATATGCTAGAATGTAATGAATATCATTTTAATGCTATATTATTATAAAAAGTATACATAAAATTTTTACATAGACATTTAAATCCTAATGTTCAATTCTCCCTACCTCCATCACCTCTTCTTGTTTCTCACATAATCTTATATTTTATCCCTTCCTACATCAAACTTCCTAACCTCCTGCTATACTTCATCTATCAACCAATTTCTGTCTCTTCCCATTGAGAAATTACAACACAGATAGGCAGCAATGAACAACTAAAAACAGGGTAAACTAAAATCTAAACGTGAAGAGAACAAAGAGCTAAGGAGTTAAAAGGATAATTTACGATAAAGCAAGGTAGAATGCAGGGATAAAAAAGTCTTAGTACAAACAGTGGAGTTATAATCTGATAGGAAAGCATATGAAGGATTGTAGAGGTTGGAAGAGGATTAAAGTTCTAAGTTCATCATCAGGGAAAATCTCCTGGACAAACAGATGAGACTTAGACCAATTAAAAATTACTTAATCATCTAAGACAATGCCACTGTATTAGAATTATTTGTTTACATGTCTGTCTCCCCTACTAAAATGTGAGCCCTTTGCAAGAAAGTTCTGTATCTTTTTGAGAATTGCCTGGTACAATATCCAATGAATTACTATAGGTGAGTAGATAATTGTGACTCACCTTATCACCTTCCATCCTAACAAATAATAATTCAACTGATTTAACTGGAATTCTTTCTTTGATAAGTCAGACCAAGATGACTTTTTCATTGTTTTTTTTGCTAAGATACAACACTTAGATACATATACCACTTTATGCTCATTAGAATTGCTTGCTTCTGATCACATGCACATGTATGAAAACTAACCTCAAATGACCTTCAAAGTAACGTGTAAGTTTTTTTAATTAAACAAAAAACTCGCAAATTGAACTCCAATAAATATATAAATATATATATATATATATATTATATATATATATATATAATATTAAAAACTCCAAATCCATTTGATTCTTACAAGGGAAATACAATAACAATTAAAATACAGAAATAATATTATCTAACAAAATTATAGGTAGAAATACTTTGTGGATACATATGTAATGTCCATTTAGTAAGTGATGGAAAAGGAGCAGGCACTGAAAAACAAAATCATACTTTAGTCTGATTCATTATTTTTTCATTACGAAGATATCATTATTTAAACAATATATAACAAAAATGTTAATACCTAGAAATTCCATAAAGATAGTTTCATTCATTTTTAGTTGTTCAGTACAAGCCAACACTCTATTTTGAATTTCTTCATATTCTCTTTTCTTCTTATAATATTCATGTGAAAGGGGTGTTTCTGAGTATTTTAATTGATATTGCTTCAAAACATCTTTATACTGACATATATAACCATGGTACATTTTTCTGTTAAAATTAAAAGAAATAATGTCAATATAACAAGAATATATCTAAAAACTTTCTAAGTATCACCTGTTAAAGTATAGTAAGTTAAGCATAAAAGGCAAGCCAAATACCAACTTATCCCTATTCCCTCAATACTGTCTGCCCTTGGGCAGCCCTGGTGGCTCAGCGGTTTAGCGCTTCAGCCCATGGCCTGATCCTGGAGACCCGGAATCGAGTCCCATGTCAGGCTCCCTGCATGGAACCTGCTTCTCCCTCTGCCTGTGTCTCTGCCTCTCTCTCTCTCTTTCTCTCTCTGTGTCTCTCATGAATAAATAAAATCTTTAAAAAAAAATACTGTCTGCCCTTCAAATTTTCCTAAACTCTATCACATTTTTCAACTGTCTAGTCTTTCTCTTCACTACCTAAGTGATTCATTCCTTAATCCTCTTCAATTTAACTTTTACTCTCACCATTCCAAAGAAACTACCCTTCCCAAGATCACCAGTGATCTAATTGTCTAATTCAGTGATCTTTTTATTTCTCATCCTAATTGACATTGCAGAACCTACATTTTTTAAGTTTTTATTTAGATTCCAGTTAGTTAACATACAGTGTAATACTAGTTTCAGATATAAAATATAATTATTCCATTCATCACCCAGCCTCACAACAAGTGGACTCCTTAATTCCCGTCACCTATTTAACCCATCCTTCCACCTACCTCTCCTCTGGTAGTCATCAGTTTGTTTTCTATAGTTAAGAGTCTGTTTCTCAGTTTGACTCCCTCTCTCTTTTTCCCCCCTTTGTTATTTGTTTCTTAAATTCCAGATATATGTGAAATTATATGGTATTTGTCTTTCTGGGTTTTTTTTTGTCTTTTTTTTGTTTTTGTTTTTTTTTGCTTAACATAATATTCTCTAGCTCCATCCATGTCATTGCAAGTGGCAAGATTTCATTCTTTTTATGTCTGAGTAATATTCCATTGTATATAGGTACTATATATTCTTTATCCATTTATCAGTTGATGGATACTTGAGCTGTTTCCATAATTTGGTTATTATAGATGATACTACTATAAACATTGGGGTGCATGTGTCCCTTTGAATTACTATTTTTTCATTCTTTGGGCAAATACTTAGTAGTGCAATTGCTGGATCATAGAGGAGTTCTATTTCTAACTTTTTGAGGAACCTCCATACTGTTTTCCAGAGTAGCAGCACAATCTAGCATTTCTACCAATAGCGCAGGAGAGTTTCCCTTTCTCCACACCCTTCCCAACACATGGTTGTTTCCTGTGTTGCTGATACTTGGAACTTTATCAAAATAAAAAGCTTTTGTACAGCAAAGGAAACAGTAAACTAAAAGGCAACCTATGGAATGGGAGAAGATATTTGCAAATGACGTATCTGATAAAGGGTTAATATAATAATATATAAAGAACTTATAAAAGTCAACATCCAAAAATGAATAATTCAATTAAAAATAGGCAGAACACATGAATAGACATTTTTCCAAAGAAGATATACAGAGAGCCAACAGATACATGAAAAGATGTTCAACATTACTCATCATCAGGGAAACACAAATTAGAACTACAATGAGAACATGGTTCTTCCAATGACTTCCTGATCTTTATCCTCCTGGAGTTTTCAGTTTCTACTCTCCTAAGTTCAGCTATCTCTATAACTATGCCTTTTAAGTCTTCAATTCTCTAAGCTGGCATTTTAACAGAAGATCATGTTTTATGTATTAGAACTCTGGGTTCATAATCATTATTACACACTCCATTAATTATTTTATGAAGAAAATTACAGCAGTTTGGAGGCACTCCTCCAGTCCAACTCACGTAGAGATAGGTGGTCACCTATTTGGGCACAAGTCTTGAGTGGGAGAGTTAATTCTTGCAAAAGGATATTAATTCTTCCATCTCATTTTTTTGCTAATCCTAACCTACGGGCCAAATCTAACCTGCCACCTGTTTTTGTATGGCCCGTGAGCTAAAAATAATCTTTGAATTTTAAAATTATTGAAAAAGTCATCATAATATTTCATGACACATCAAAATTATATGAAATTCAAGCTATAATATCCACAAATAAAAGTTTTATTAGAACACATTCATTTACATATTGTCTAAAGTTGTCCTTGCATTACAACAGCGGGTTAAGTATCAACAGAGACTATATAACAAGTAGCCTAAAATATTTACTATCTGGCCTTTTATTTTAAAAATAAGTTTGCCAATCCTAATCTACAACAATGAGAACGTTCAATCCAGGTTCATTATAGCAAATATATTATTAGATCCTTTTTACTCAATTTTTGTCAAATACTTAGTTTTAAGAACTATTCATTGAAAATTTTCTAAAAATATATATAGTCCTTATGCTCCTAATAATTCTATAAGTTTTCTAAATCAAGACATACTATATGGGGGAAATTTATTTAAAGATACTAAAATGATGATCTCATCTTAGTAGATGAGAAAACAAGAATAGTTTTCATAAATGCTTGTATACTGAGGGAAAAAAATAAGGATAACAACATTGTACTGGTCAGCAGATCTGAATCTTCTGAATGTTTTGATTTCTTAATATATGAAAAACTTTTAACTTAATAACTCTGTCTCCTTTTCAAAATAAAGCAGTTGAGCCCAAAACAAACTCCTATTCCTCTAAATGCGTATTTGCTAATTAATCCCTTACTTCTTGGGGAATTGGTCCAGGGAAGAAGGAAATACCTATTAGAAAACTGAGTCTGAGTCACCAGTTTCTATATTCATGCCCACTCTTCTTATACGCTCCATACAGGGACTTTAGCAGACACCAGCAGAGCCAAGTCATGATTCAAGAAGAACCGTGACTATCTCATCTGTTGCCAACAATACTAGTCTTCATGAATGTCTAGAATGGAAGATTAGGGGAAACAAGAAGAAAATTACAGCAGTTTGGAGGCACTCCTCCAGTCCAACTCAGGTAGAGATAGGTCGTCACCTATTTGGGCACAAGTCTTGAGTGGGACTTTCAAATTATTGAAAAAGTCATCATAATATTTCATGACACATCAAAATTATATGAAATTCATTACTATTACTTTAGTCCCTACCTTCTCTTAAGACTCATTTTTAAATATAAAGGGCATTGTAGTCTAGATTTTGCATGTTTGTTTTTAATTAAAATACAAAAAATTGGAGTGATGTCAGCAAAATGACAGAATAAAATATCCCTCATGTACTGCACATCAAAAATAATAATTTAACATCCATCCATGGACAAAAGTGGGGGGGGGAGCTTTTGGATCCAGATAGAAGACTGAAGCCCTAGTGTAGTCCAACACTAAGTAGAGTCATTTTGAGAAAGCAGGCTCACATCCTGGTGGCTAACTCACTGACTGTGGTCCTGGCTACAGACCTGGAAATAGTTTAATACTCCCTGAGAACTTAGCTACAGCCCCATTTGGTTCTGGGTCTGTTACTAGCACCATTCACCAAAGGACCTAGAACAAGTCATGCCTATCCATGTGTCAGTTAATAGGCATACATACTCTGGTCTAGCTATAGATCCTGAAGTGACCCATGAACCAGCTCCAGTCCCTGTGGCTGCAATCTGGGAGCCCCTGGAGGTTAGCCTGCCAAACTCATTCAGACCATAGATTCAGAAATGGCCCTGTAACTGGGCTCCAGCCCAATCCAGCCACAGTCACCAAAGAATCCTGCTGGCACAGAGACCCAGCAGGAGACACTCCTATCTGTGCCGCTGAAGATCCTGAAAGCACCTTATACTTGGTTCTAACCCCCTCAGAGCCACAGTTTGCCAGCAGTACTGAGAAACTAGTTCCCAGTGGGAGACACTCCTATCTGCACCCTAATAGATTCTAAAGAACCATATACTTGGGTATACTCCAGGTCCCTCATAGCTAAAAGCCACCAGCAGAACTGCCAGCCTTAGAACCCAGAAATAGGTACTCCTATATGTACCCCTGGAGATCCTAAAAGGGCCCTATACTTGGCTCCAGTCCCCCAAATACAGTTAGGGAATACTCCAGCCTACCCAGGGAACTGGTGGCAGGCATGCCCATCTGTGCCTTCAGAACCAGGACTACCGACCTCAGTCTTCGTTGTAGAACCTGAAACATCTCTGAGGCCCAGTTCTAGCCCCTCCTGGCCACAGTCTAGAGCCAGTTCTGACCACCCGCAGATCCATCCAGTGATCAGGCAAGAGCTCTACCAGGTTCTTAGTGGGAGCCATATGAGTCCTGCTGACTGGGGATCAACTGTAGAACCTGAAGCAGACCTTTGTCCCAAGTGCTATCCAACTTAATGAAGTACTGGAAGCAGTTACACTCACCCAGGGACCAGGAAGGATCATACCTGCCTGAGTCCCTCATAATAAGCACACCAACCATGGATCCCAATGTAGACAAAGTGACTGCCTCAAAACCAACTCTAACTCAGCATGACTGCAAGTCTAGAGATAATCCCATCAGTCTAAGAAACCAACAGGAAAAGGTCTTTACCTGCCAAAACCAATCTGTAAAGACCGAAAGAGGTTTTTGTTCATTCAAGTATAAAGACACTAATGCAAAGCTACACAGATCACAAAATACCATGAAAATATGAAACCACTCAGGAAAGTAATAAAGCTTTAGTAACTAACCCCAAAGGAATAGAGATCTACTATTTACCTTCCAAAGAACTCAAATAATCATTTTTCAAGAAAGAGAGATAAGGACATCTCCAGACAGACAAAAGCTCAGAGAATTCATTACCACTTGAGCTGCCTTACAGGAAATTTTTAAAGGAATTTTTCAAGTTGAAATGACAAAGGCCACATGAAAACATATAAAAGTATAAAATTCACTGGTAAAAGTGAACATATAGTCAAACTCAGAATACTATACTACTGTATTAATGACTTGCAAATCACTTTTATCTCTAGTATATAAGCTAAAAAACAATAATATTAAAAAATAGATATAGTTACAATAATTTGTTAATGGATACACAGTATAAAAGATATAAA